AAATTTTTATTATATTATTAATATATTATAAAAATGTTATAAAAATGTTTTTTTTTATAAAAACATATTTATTATATTTTAAGTTTCAGTAAAGTATCAGTGCAATAATCAAGGAAAGAAGATAATGATTGTTGAAAAACAGCACAATACATATTTTAAACATAGTGGATGTCCATGGGTTATAAATGCTACATGCCCAAAGAAAACTGGTATTATTAGTATTACCTCCCTGTATTTAGAACATGGAGATCATTCTTTAGATCCTCTTACCAAAAAATTTGGTCTTACTCATCGAATATTAACAGAGCCAATGTTGGCTGATATAGAATTCTGGACAACAAACGGGAATCTTAGTATGCATACGAAGTATGAAGATGTTTTTTTTTTAAAGCTGAACAAAATGTTAATTGTAAAACTGCAACACTGATTAATTACCTTATTGAGCATAAATCTAAGGATATTCGATGGACTATAAATTGGTATGTTGATCCAGCAACAAACTCTTTAGTATCACTATTTTGGATGATGCCAGAACAATATGAACTTTACTTACAATATAGTGACATTATACAATATGATAATACTTACTCTACCAATAAATTTAAAATGGCACTTGGGCTTTTTGTTATCGTCAATTAGTTGAGCAAATGTTAATGAATAATGAAACATTAGAGAGCTTTGAATGGGTATTTGATTCTCTTATTAAAGGAACCAATATCTTTCTCTCAGTTATTATAACTGACAATGATTTGGCAATCACAAATATAATGTCTGATACCTACCATATACATTGTATATACCATATCGGACAGAATTTATTAAAGAATCTAAAGTCTAAATTGGGATCAGAATATAATGACTTCATTAAAGCTTGGTACAAAATGAGAAATACTATATCTCAAACTGAATTTGACTATTTATGGGACTCTTTACTTGAACAATACCCAGCCTCAGCATCATATCTTAATAGATCACTTGGCTCCCAAAAACATAGATGGGCTCTTTCTTATATTCCGCATATTTTTACAGGAGAGATTCAAAGTACACAAAGAGTAGAAGGGCAAACCATGATAATTAAAAGTGCTGTTAATAGTTATACATTTATCTTGGATGTTTTTAAAAAATTGAAGTACAATTTAATTGTGTATCTATTATGATCCAATATAAAAATTGGACACATTCAGTAACCGGCTCAACTCTTATATATTCAAGTTATGACTTTTCACCTATAATCGATAAATGGATTGTTGACTATTTAACTCCAGCAGCCCTTTCTATGCAACGACAAGAAATAGCACAAGCTATCTGGTACTTTACTTAATATTCTTTAATTTCTATCAGTTGCAATCTATATAATATGAATTTAAAAAAAAATACTAGGTATTCTTCTCAACAAGTTGATAAAGATCACACTTTTGAGTTTAAGAATAAAGATGAATTGCTTAATACTGGTTTCGCTAAAGACACTATTGATGTTCCATTAATACTCTTGAAAGAGCTTATTCCGACCAATAAATATAATAATATTGTTGAGATTTGGGAACTTGTCTGTCATAGATATACAAAAAAAAATTATGTTGTACTTTTTAATGATAAATCTCATCTTTGTACATGGCTTGGTCTTGTTTGATGTGGTATCATATGCCATCATTTTTCTCGTTTGTTAGGAAACTCAACATATGCGAAATTTCATGTTATGCTTATATCTAAACAATGGTATAATAACAAAAACAACGTGAACATGCCTCAATTCTTTGTCAACAATCTTTTACTGATGGCTTTCAAGAATCTTCTAATGCTGCTTTACATACTGAATTCTGCCTAGAAATGTCTTATAAAACTGTTAATATTTCTTATGAATGTGTTTATAATTCCTTAAACTAACGAAAAGAATATGCAACAACTAATGGACTTTCAAAAAAAGCAATTCAATTAGGATTGGAAGTAGGACCATCAGCGATAAAAGAATTAAACAATTTTATGACAGACTTCATAACAAAACAGAATACATCAAAACATAACGTAATACACCAATACAAAATTAAAAATTACCTTGAAAAACCTTAAAAGAACTTTGATGACTAAATCTTATAATATACCAGGCAGTTTTGATGAATCTGACAGCATTGATTATCAAAAATCGCCTCAAAAGAACTTTGATGACTAAATCTTATAATATACCAGGCAGTTCTGATGAATCTGATGGCATTGATTGTTCTGACTCAAGTTATGATGACAAATCAGATAAATTGGTACCTCAAGATATTGAGAATATAGATCCATCTTCAATTCGAGACCCTATTGTTCATGCAAAAAAAGGTGCCTGGTGCAAAAATCGGTTTAAGGGATCATAGGAGGTAGAACAGAAAAATACAAAGCGTCAGAAAACTGAAAGGTGGAAACTAACAGAATGTCAGCAGTGCTATAAATTAGAACATAATAAAGCCGGCTGTGAAAAATGGCATCGAAAAAATCAAGTTCCATATTCTTTTTAAGTGTAGTATATTGTGTTATTGAAATATGTATATGCACATAAATTGAATGTTTATTGCTTAAATAACCTTATAGAACATAGTAATTACTATGTTCCATAAGGTTATTTTCAAGACAAAGACTATGTATTATTCGAATTAAGATTGTGCTTTATATAAGGTAAGTTAAAAACAGTAAATTAGTGGTTAATATTTACAAGTTATTAATTAGAGTAGTTGGTTAATTAGAGTAGTTGGTAGATTAGAATTAGTAAGTTGGCAGTTAAAAGACTCTAAATAGTTTGTATTAGAATTAGATTTAGAAATCTATTGTTAGCAAGTTACTGTATAGGTAGATTAGTTAGTAGTTGCGAGTTAATGCATTAGATTTAGCAAATTTGTAATTAGCAGGTTATTAAGTAGCTAGTTTAGTGGGTTTAGTGATTGGTTAGTATGTTAGAGTTAGAAAGTATTAGTTAATAGTTGGTGGTTAGAGCTAGTGTTGAAGTTAAAAAGTATTAGTTAGTAGTTAGCTAGTTAGCGGGTTAGGGTTTAGAGTTAGGAAGTATTCGTTAATTAGGTGTTTGAAATTAAAAAGTATTAGTGTATATTAGGGTTAGAACGTATTAGTTAATAGTTGGCGGTATTGGTTAGTAGTTGGTGGTATTAGTTAGTAGTTAGCTAGTTAGCAGGTTAGGGTTTAGAGTTAGAAAGTATTCTTTAATTAGGTGTTTAAAGTTAAAAAGTATTAGTTGGTAGTTAGTTGGTTAGCAGATTAGGTTTAGAGTTAGAAAGTATTCAATAATTAGGTGTTTGAAGTTAAAAAGTATTAGTGTATATTAGTATTAGTTAATAGTTGGTGGTATTAGTTAGTAGTTGGCAGTATTAGTTAGTAGTTAGCTAGTTAGTTGGTTAGCAGATTAGGTTTAGAGTTAGGAAGTATTCAATAATTAGGTGTTTGAAGTTAAAAAGTATTAGTGTATATTAGTATTAGTTAATAGTTGGTGGTATTAGTTAGTAGTTGGCAGTATTAGTTAGTAGTTAGCTGGTTAGTGCATTAGGGTTTAGAGTTAGAAAGTATTCGTTAATTAGTATTAGTTAGTAATCAGAGTTAGTAGTTAGTGGGCTGTAATTAGTATACTGTAGTATTAGATGTATCAGAAAGTTATAACTACCAAGCTTAGAGATGCAATCCGTTTGCAGTTTTCAGCCCGAATTAACCATAATGCAGGCCAAAAAATGGCAAACGGTTCACATCTCTATGCGATTACTATAAAATCTTGAATAGTGAGCATGTTATTTCGAATCTTGGTTCGAATTAAACTTAATTCGGGCCGAAATTTGTAATTCCATCTCTGCACGTTATTTCGGGATTTCTCATTTGCCACTAGGGTGTAACTAGTATGAGTGACAAATAAGCAGGTATTATATGAGTTAATTAGTCAATTAGTTTTTGTCACACCTTATGATTCTTGATTGGTTACACCCTAGTGGAATTAGCTATAATATAACTATTTATATAGTTATATATATATCTATTATATATTATATTACACAGGCTACATGTAGCCACGGCTATATGTAAATTTTCCCAATTAACTATCCAACTTATATATTAGGCCAATACCTGGCTTATCGCACTGATGTTTGCCAACTGGTTCCACATGTGGTGCTACCCACATTTAAAAACCCGTTATAGCATAGTACTCAGCTACCTAAAAATATTTACTTAACATAACAACCTACAGTAGTGTTTCTACACCTTCCGTTTCGGAAAATACACGTTCATGACAGATTCGAATGACTTAAAAAAGAAACAAAGAATTCAAAAACAATTAGCACATTGCCATCGCCTTGAATGAATTGGTTCTTCTTAATGAGCATGATCTATGTAACCAAATCGTTTCTTTTACCAACTTATATACCTCAACTATCTTTTTCTTAAAGTTTTCCAAACATGATTTTCCCTTCTCTTTTTTCTCTACTATACCTGATTCCTCTAAACCTTTTTTTCTCTTTTTTCTCGAATGGTTTTTTGTTGATTGGTTTTTTACCGGTTGAATCTCTGTTGGCCCGTTTTCTAACACTAGGTCTTCTGCTCATAAGTTTTTTTCTGATATCTCGGACAATTCTCTAGGTCTTTTCTCTCTTTTAATTGTCTTGTCTATACTGTTTCTTTTTTCCCATGCTGTGAATTTTTCACATCTTTCCCTCCAAATTATTCTATAAAAGCATTCTTGTATAAACATAAAAAAGCGCTTTGTAGCATTGTCGACTTGTGCTAGATTTCTTGTTTATTTCTTGAAGTTTCGTGAAATCACCTTGACAGACCAAACCCTGCATAAGCATCTTCCTTTTTTTAAAGCATGCTTCTCGTGAGTTGCCAAATACTACGTTCTTCAGATCTTTCAAGGTATACTTGAATCTTGTCTCTTCTTCAAGTGTGGCCCTGCCAATGCTAAAGCTTGCTTTTCTATTTCTAACCAAATACCCTCATAGGCTTCGCAGCTAAAAAGATGGTCCAGATCCTCTATTTTGTTCTCCTTACATAGGACACAATTGGCCGACAGATAAACATGTGGGCTATGCTGATGTAATTTATCCAGTGTTAGGAGTACTTGGAAAAGGCCTTTAATTCGCTTGACAAGCTTGTTACTAATCGCTAGTGATCTACACCTCTGGCCCCTAATCTTTTCCAACATAAGGCCCATGATGGATTATTCACATTCTGTCTTTTGAAGAGGCTCACAGCTTTTCGACAGATACCATTCGCTCTTCACAAACCTTCTTTTAACTTTTAGTATAAAACTTCGTCAATGTTCTTATCTTGCCAAAATATTTCGAAGCTCCATCGAGAGTGGAGACTACTTGGCCATTTCCACATATCATCAAGATATTGCTGTGCAATCTGCTATTTCATTCCACTTTATACCTGCATGTGCTTTAACCTTTACTAACTCAAAATCAAGTGATTTGAACTAAACTACTTCTATAATCTTGTCGAGTACTGCTCTATTTTTTCTTTTAAGCTCTTTATTAAAGTCCTTTTCATTTAGTGCACCTCTTATTGCTATGATTGCGGCTGCACTATCAGTTTTAACTTGCACACTTGAGTTTGAGGTTGCTGTTAAAAGCGCACATAGTATCGCTAGAAGCTCTGGCCTTGTAGATGATGGCCAATTACCAATTCTGGCTCTGCCTTTAAATATCATATCTTTCTCATCTTCTGAAACCTGGACCCAGCCTACTTCCATTCTATCTTTGTCAATCTTGTTAAACTTATTTGGGATCTATGAACCATCTGTATAGAAAATGCTTTCTTTTCTCTTATGTTCCAGATTAACTCTTAGCCTATGTGACAACAGAGCTTTAATGTTCGCCGGTAGCTCCAAATTCTCTATATACTCTAAACTTTCATTTTTTACTATCTTCATACTTTCTAATGTCCATTCAGATGTACTTCTTTCTATAATAAGAGATCTATATATCTCTGTCAGAATTCTAAGATGTAAACCCTCCTCGTCTTTTGATATATACTCTATTATACCTAGTACTTGGTCTAAATTTATACTAAATCTACAAATATCTTCTACCTCTATGTTGTTAAAATCACAACCCCACATTGAACTAATAGAACACCTTTCTTAGTTGAGTCTCCTTCTAACCAGTGTTCAGCTACAACCTCA